AATGAAATAAAACTAGAGTACTTTGTTCACAATAAAGCACTGTATGAGTACAAGGGTTTTATGAGTTGACTGAGCCCCAGCAGGTGAAAAAATGACTATAAGGATCATATAGGAACATCATCTGGTGACCTATGATATTTACCTTATGCCTCTCTTCCTATTTAGGCATTTGGGTTATCATTTCAAAACACAATATATGAAAATGGTGCCCAGATGTTACTGAGAACCCGAGAAAAGAATGTCTTTAGGCGTCTGTGTTTTAGGCAATGGGTCCCTAACGTGTCCTCTTGTGTTTTCTACCACATGACCCGAGGAATTAAAGGTCTATCACTCAGGGGCGCCTGGGTGGCTCAGTTGGTTAAGTGTCTGACTTTGGCTCAGGTTGTGATCTCAGTTTGTGACTTTGAGCCCCACGTTGGGCTCTGCGCTGACAGTGCGGAGCCTGCTTGGGATTCTTTCTCTCTGTCTCTCTCTCTGCCACTCCCTCACTTGTGCCCTCTCTCTTCCAAAATAAATAAATAAACTAAAAAAACCCCACGGAAAACGAACTCTCTAAAAAAACAATAATAAATAAAGGTCTATCTCCTCGACAGGCTGCAGCCTCACAGTCTCATTCAGGACTCCACCTGCTCTGTTTTCACCACTGACACTGTCTTATGAAAAGGTGAGGAAGTTTGATCTGTAACCTATATCTTCTTGGTCTGTGAATTACTAGAGCTTTGCCTAGTCGCTGAATACAGTTTAATGCAATTTAATATGCATGTCAGACATTTTCATTTCTGACCTCTTTTTCCCTCAGGCTGTATGACTAGTTCTTAGAGCTGGTGGGTAGAGACATCCCACCCCTTTTGGCGCTGACTCTAGGCCAGAATTAAATTTGGGGGCAGCCCTGTCGCTGGAGCTAGCAGTTCTCTGACTCATACACTCAGATATCTTGCAACAAACCTTTCTCTCTACCTTTGCAGTGAGATCAGTGTTTCCGCAGTCTCCTCTCTTAGTTAAATCCCACCTTCTTGGTCATCTTGGCCAACTTCCTTCCTATTTGTAAAAATAAATGTCCCCTCTGGTTCTCACTTACCGAAGACTCAATGTCCTCCCCTTCTTTTCTTCTCTCAAATATCATTCTCAAGGACATGTTCCCACCTCATTGTCCAGCATCCTCTCAGTCAGTACATGTCACGGTTACGCTTACATCGCAAACTCATCTTAGTTATGGTGGAGGCATAACAACAGCTCACATAATTAAGGATGTGTCCTTCATCACACTGTGGGCAAATCAAGCGACCTTGTCTCTGTAGCCACAGAACTCTGGCTGAATAAATGCTAAATTGTTGTACACGCGTAGGAGGTACGGACCCTACTTAAGGCCAATTTTTATTATTCACCCATCTTTGCCTCAAATCATTTCAATTTAACTGCCGACTAGGGACTGCTTCTTGATTTAGGTCGAGTTGTACCGTATAGAACTTTCAACCACTTTCTTTAATTGATAACCAAGGGTGACCCTTTTCCTCTGTGAACATAATTACCTTTCATTATAGCCTGATTCTGTCCTCCTCCAGTCCTGTGATTCCACACCTATTCTTTCCCTAAAAATAAAAATTTTGTTCCTGTTAAGGTCACCATTAAAAAAAGAGCCAAACTGGGCTCAAGATAATGGTAGAAATGCACTTTTAAAGAAGGTAATGGGCCGAAAATTGCCGACAAGGTCATTGTAAACCCTAGCTGTCCAGTTATGGTTTGATGGAGAGCTGGAATGATCCAGAAGCCCAAAGGACATGAGTGAATGGCAGAATGCTGAAACCAGCACCATGATCTGGTGACATTCTAAACCCACCCAAGAACAGCTTCAGAGATTCAGCTGGCTCCCCTAAGTAGCAAAACCATCTGGTTTGACAAATTCACTTTGTTAGAGTCAGCACCAGAGATAGGTGCAATAAGCTTCCTTTTAAAGGAAATGGAAACACATTGGCTTAAAAAAAAAAAAAACAAAACAGAAAAAAAACCCCAACACTTTTATTGAAGTGTAACATACATACAGAAAACCACACAAATCTTTTAAATGTTTATTTTTGAGAGACAGAGCGAGTGCAAGTGGGGGAGGGACAGAGAGAGAGAGAGAGAAAAAGAGAGAGTATCTGAATCAGGCTGAGTGCTGACAGCAGTGAATCTGATGTGGGGCTTGAACTCACAAAGTGCGAGATCATGACCTGAGCTGAGGTTGGACGCTCAACCGACTAAGCCACCCAGGTGCCCCAAATCTTTTTTTTTTTTTTTTTAATTTTTTAAAATGTTTATTTATTTTCGAGAGAGACACAGAGACAGAGTGCAAGCAGGGGAGGAGCAGAGAGAGGGAGACACAGAATCTGAAGCAGGCCCCAGGCTCTGAGCTGTCAGTGCAGAGCCCGATGCGGGGCTGTAACCCACAGACCCCGTGATCATGACCTGAGCCGAAGTTGGACACTTAACCAACTGAGCCACCCAGGCGCCCCACTTTTTTTTTTTTTTAATGTTTATTTATTTTTGACAGA